TCAGCCCGGATTAAGGTCGCGCCGCCGGCTCCGCGCTCCCCCCGGGCCCGCGGCGGGAGCGGGAGCCCCCGGGGCTCCGCGCCCTCCTGCGCTCCCCGCGCTTCCCTGCCCCTGGCACCGCAGCCCGGGCAGACCCAGCGCCTCGGGGCTGTCCCCTCCGGCCCTGTCCCGGGCAGCCCCCGCGCCGCTGTCCCCACACACGTGCCCGGCCAGCGCTTGGCAGCCAAAAGGCAGGGCAGATGGCCCGGCCCGCAGCGGGAGCCTCTGGGCACACCTGGCTGCAGAGCCTGGAGCTCCGGCCCTTCCCAAGGGCGACAGGCAGCAGGGCACCCAGAGCGGCAGCTCAGAGCCCCAGCAGCTGCTGCCTCCTGCCCAGACCCCTTGTTACCTTTCCAGAGGCGACAGCGCAGGAGCGACAGGACCGCGCGGGAAGCTGCTGCAGGAGCAGCCCAGCAGACGGGCACGGAGCAGTAGGCATAACCCCCTCCAGCCCCCGCRCAGCGAGTGCCCCTCGCTGTCCACTCCCCTCCTCAAGAGACCAGGCAGGGAGCAACGTGTGCTCGCTGGGGTTGTATTTTTTATTAATCTGAATTTACAAAAACAGAAGCATTTTCACACCCTGCCCCGTCACCGCCAGGGCAGAGAGGTGGAAAAAGGCGGCGGCAGCGATGGTTATAAACGGGGAGCCGGGGGCTCTGCCCCGGTTACGCAAGGCTCCGCGAGGAGGAGGGGAAACCAGGTGGGGTTTAAGACACTGTTGGCACAACACGGAGCTGCAGAACCAGCCGGGGGGAGCGGCGCTACCTGTGGCAGGGGACAAGCTGCCTGCAGCCGAGGGCGAGCGGACGGTGCTGCAGCAGAGCCCGACAGCCCCTCGGTGCAGCGAGGGGCTCCTCGTGCAGACCCTTCAGTTGCAATGGAGTCGAGGGAGGGCTGCGCTTGGCTGGCACTGTGAGCTGGGCAGCAAGGGGAAGGGMTCAGCACGGAGCGGCCTGGCGGGCACTGGGATGCCTGGAGCCTGCGGAATGCAGCATCCTGGGGCAGGGGGGCATTAGGGAGCATCTGCCCAGCCCTAGCGGGCAGCTTCCCCACKGCTGAGCCGTGTCTGACAAGGCAGGCAGCAGCCCTGCTGCGCAAGAGCTCTGCTGGACCCCGGCTCAACGCCGCTCTGCAGCAGCAGGAGCTGAGGAAATGCACTATTTAGAGCACAAGGACCACAGTCCTGCTGTCTCTTCCTCCCCCAGCGCCCTGAAAACCCAGCTTATGACGCATGGCTTCGCTGCAAGTAATCTACCCTCCTCCTGGGGCCAATACTGCAGTGGGCCCGGCTCCAGCTGCTGCCTTTGTGCCAAAGCAAGGCAAGCGAGCAGCTTGCTGTGCCAGCGGGATGCGCGGCCCRGGGCAAGGATGCGCTCGCAGGGAAGAGCGAGTCCCCAGGCCACCGGCAGCGGAGGAGCAGGCTGGAGAGCGGCTGCAACTGCACCAGCTTTTATTGAGCTTGCTCATCCAAACAGACTGGTAAACGTGGAGTGACAAGGAACCGGAGGGACACACCACGCATCCCGTGTCACATGGTGCTTGTGTAGGGACTGAGCTGGCTGGAAGCGTGGACCTCTGCACTAGCCCCTGTCTGGCACTGGAGGAACAGATGCCAGCCAAGCCTTCTGGAGAGCCGGGGATCKCTACAAATGTTTTTTATTGATTTCTTAAGCTGCAGTGTCAGTATTTGCTGGTGTTGYGATCCCCAGGGGTACCCTGCACTGCTCCAGAGCAGCCCTTTGCCTGGGTGGAATGGTCCTACAGGGCGGCAGGCTGGAAGCCAGCCGGCATGCCCAGTTTCTTGTAGAAGAGGTCACCTGTTCCTGGTTCTCTGTAAACCTGAGCTGTTCTTTCCCTGATCCGCCACCTCCGCCAGCAGTCACTGCGGAGGAAGAGGGATGCCGCGCGGGTCAGTGACCTGGCCCTCCTGCAGGTTCTTGACGAGCTGAGCCAGCCAGCGCTTTGTGGTGGTGTCRTCCTTCAGGACCTGTGCGAAGGTGGTGTCCTTCAGTTGGTCAGGAAGGCACTGCCTGAGAGCTTCACGTGCCCTACATCAAGAGACAAGAAACAGGGGCCCAACAAATAAACTCACAGGGGCAGGAGGGGAGCAAACCCCACTGGGAACGTAATGTTCATTGGCCAGGAGGGGACGCGGGGGTGTCTCCGTGGCAGGATGAGCCAATGTAATCACGGACACGTGGGGCTCTCCCAACCAGCACGGCTCCCGTCCCTTAGGCCAGGGCCCACTGAGCAAGTCCCCAAGCCCTGACACCTGCCAGAGCAGGCAAGAGTTGGCTGCTGGTCAGCCAAGGAAATACATTGATTTTGCACCAGAATGTCACCTGCTGGCTTCTATGGCTACCTGCCCACACCATGCACGAGAGGAAGAGCATGGTCTACCTTCCACCTCAGTGCTCCCCTGTACCCAGGCAAGCTACAGCCGTGCTAAGCTCAAACCTGCAAAGCCCTAAAGCGTCACTGTTTCCTCCACCTACCGTAAGAACTCCTGGGACCATCGGCAGGAAAAAAAAGCATTTTCTACACTGAGCTAAGGCTGATGTAAGGACAGACAGCAATTGGGATCCATTCCGAGTGGAGATTCTCTCACTATGGAGAGAACTGCACTTGCAAGGCAGATGGAGGAAGGCCCTGCTCAAACTCCTAAGATGTTTACCTGGGGTTATCGGAGAGGCGAAGGTAACAGCGCACCACGTGTTTCAGCAGCCGTGCCGAGGGCTCCTTGGAAAGCTGCAGGACCATTTTACCCTGTGTGAAAGAGGCCAGTGCCAGCAGTTAAAAAAAAAAAAAAGTCTTTATAAAAATAGCTGCACAATCAGTGAAGACTGGGAAAGACCATTAAACCACTCACTCTGTTTTCCTACTCATCACAGCCCATTATATTTCATCCAGATATCCCTGCAGGGAGTCCAGAACCTCGCCTGCCAAGACACCTTTGAGAAGTGCAGCTGGCCACAGTTGAGAGAAGGAGTCTCAGCAGCTCGGGGGAAAGCTCAGCTTGTCTCTACGTTCTTTCCTCTCCTTGCAACTGCTTCCTGGTCCAAAATTTCTGCTAGGTTATAGGGAAGCTGGATTCTTGTGCTCACAGAGGAATGCAAGCCTATCTTAGACACTTTGATAAGCTCAGGTCCAGTGAGCCCATTAGGGATGTTCCTGTCCTCTGCAATAATCCATGTTCTCATCTGCACTGCCTTCATCTCAACACTCTTTTAAAACTCTGACAAGAGCTTGGAAAGTCATTCTAAAGACGAGGACTCACCCACTCTCTTAGACTCACATTCTGGTCTTACCCAAGAGTTATATTTTTCTCTTTCTCCTCCATCACTCATATAAAGCTGATCCTGAGAAAAAAAACAGAGCCAATCTCCCCATCCCGGCCTCTGTTTCTCACATGCTCTAGGACTATGCACATGGCTGCATGGAAATCTATCATCTTGGTTGTACCCAGCACCAGGGGCAGCACAGACCCATTCGCACGCACATCTCGACTGCTGGTGCTCGGGAGCTCAGTCAGACCTGCCTGGCAAGTTCCTTTCCCCCTAAACCACACAAACTAGCACTTCCCATTTCCCACTAGCCACATTCACCTGATTTCAGGTATTTACTCAGTTCAGATACCAATTAATGGGGTCATCTCACCTATGAGCTTTTGGTTCTCAAGAATTCCCCAAAAGAATGAGCAATAGGCCAGAGAGTCCTTTAGACACCTCCTGGACAAGAATTACCAATCTACTGTTTTTAAAGCCTCTAATACTTACTTAACATCTTATTCATGTACCAGTGGATTAGGAAGTAATCATCCTCATAAACCAGAAATACACTGTGCTGACTCTCCGAAATTCAGAACAGAACTGCTTACAGCACATTTCCATCTTCCTTCATAGCGTTATGGAATACTAATCATGTCAGCACTCCATCCAGTGCTGGGATTAGAGCACAGTTAGGGTTCTTCCATGCTAACAGAGCATGAGATGCTCACAGCCCTCCATGTTCATGTTCTTCCCTGTGGCAAATTCTTCCTCGCTTCCCTTCCCAATGGTTTCTGCTTCTAATTGCTTTTTTTTTTTTTTTCTTTGCCCCAAGCCAGATGTATTTTCATCCACAGCTGATCCTGTTAGCAACTGCAAAATCCTATCACAACGGACATTGTAGACATCAGTTCTAAAGCTTTTCTGTTTTGCTGTTCATGGGTAAAACTGATCAGAGTGAAAAAAAAATCTTCAGATTTGGGAATATACATAAACAAACATTTTCATGCAAGCATCAACATTTGGTCACAGAATCAGGAAGCCTAGAAATTAACACTGCATTTTAAYAGCAGTCTCAAGAGGACAAAAAGCAGAACATCTGCTATTCCTGGGCAAACCTATATTCCCCTTAGCAGGCTCACAGATAATGCTCAAGCTAAGGGTATTACTCTTTGAATGAACAGAAAATGGGTATCAAAACTTCTCCTCCCTAGTGGACAGGGAATGGACTGAAATTATTTGCTCTGTGGCTTCCAATTCAAGAACTGGGATCAGCTCAGGAATCAGGCTCCAAAATAAACAGGAGGACATGGACCTCCCAGGCAGCAAGTGGGAAATCCACGGAACTCCTTGGTAAAGGACACCACGGATACAGAAAGATTCCACAGTTTCAAGGGGTGGGCAAACACTTGGAAGAAAAGGCCAGGTTACTGTACAGAAAACTCACTACTGGGTCCAGAAAAATCCAACCTTTGCCCTGTTCTTACTCATGCCTTGACATCTTATTCCACCTGCTATGGAATACAAATTTCTGTTCCACCCCTGAAATTCCATAGGCATTTCGGAAGGAAAGGCGGCTTTTGGATTTTAGTTTTGTGTTTCCTTACTATAATGTGCATCTTTCTGGGGCTACAACCAAGGAAAACTAACACTTTACAACACACAGAAGAAATCAAAATGTCATATGAAGCATGGAAGAAATTCATCTGCTCTGACATCGTGCAAAAGGAAAGAACTTTGCCTTTGCTCGAGGCAGGCAGCAGTAAAATAGCTGCTGAAGAAGGGCTTTGTTTCTCTATAAGAAAAAAAAAATAATCCTACCAGTATCATGGCAACATGGGAAAACCGCTCGTATGTCTGACAGATATACGCCAGTCCTGTGTCATCCAGGAGGATTTTCTGAAGAATAAACGTAGCAACCTAGAACAGAAAGAAAGGCCAAAATAGTTTATAAACAACCCACCTGTCCTGAAAGGGATCAGTCTTTGTGCTGAGTTCTCTTCATGGTAGACTCAAGGCTAAAGGGGCCTTTAGCAGGCAGCTAATGCTGCACTTGATGAAAGCTCAAAGCCACAAGGAAACACGGGACACTAAACGTTTGGCATCTCTGACTAAAGGAAAGAGGTGGATACAAAGCAGGGCCCACACTAAGACTGGGTGCAGGCTGCAATGGACAGCAGCTAGGGCCAGGCTTCTCAGGACAGCTTCAGTCTCACAGCCATATTATTCTAGTCACAGAGAAAGAACCAGAAGTATCTGTTCCTTGGCCCTGCCCTCTATGGCACAGTAATTTTAGTTTTCATTCTGGGGATTACTGCTTGGTCACAAGATAAATGACTTTCCGTGTGAATTTCATCCAGATGCGTCACCACAGAGAAGCATCCAGACCAAAATCCGTGGTCTGTGCTAGCCAGGTCACCAGAGCAGACTGAGCACAGACCCGAGCTCACACTGGAGAGGGGACCAGGACTAAGAGCCACACTGGGCTGCTCCAGCCTGGTGAACCCTCCTCTAACTGCCACCACTGCGAGCTGCTGTCCAGCCTCTGCACTGCCTATTTGCTGCATTTGCTCTCTTGGGCCAAGGCAAGTGGAAAATTGTTCTGCAGGGCTATACGGGAGGGAATGGCTGTTAAGAGCAAGAAGATCTTGCCCCACAAAACCGTCAAACTACAGAATTCCCAGCTCAAAGCTTAGCAGTGTTTTTTTGAGGACAGGACACAAACCAACCCTGCAAGTCCCTGCCTGCCAGCACAGCTGGAGGCAAACAAGAAGTCTCAATTAAGATAAACAGTAGATACCGTTTTGGAGAGTTCGCTGCCAGACTCCATGATACGTAAGCACAGGGGGATAATTTCTGTTGTCAATAAGAAATTTATCACTTCTTGCTCATCTGTTTTCACCAATGCCCCTTGAAGGGAAAAGAAAAATCAAAACATGACAAATTGTTTCACGTAATCTCGTCATCTCGTCATTCATTCTGTGTGCCCTTGCCAGGGACTGTTAGATCTGGATGGTGGGCAAACAAATAGCACTCTGAATATATTGCAGCAGATYGTTTTGGCAGCATAAAAGTAATCATGCTCAATTGGGGGCATTTTTTTTTCAGAAAAGGGGCATGTTCTTGGCTCTCCCCTGGCAGGACTGCAGACATAACAGGATCATGCTCATCAGTTATTCAGCAGCAACCTTTGGCAAGAGGAGATGCATTTCAAGCCTCAAAAAAATGGAGAGAGGGGAAGATGGAAAATACATTCAAGTAAATTAATGGTAAAAAGGCAAAGAAACTTCCATCTGCACCCAGCATCCCAGCATCTAGGTGTCTGTGTCGAGAGTGAAGGCACAACAGACTGCTGCTGCTTCCATTCATGGCAGGTAGATACTTTTGGCAATGCAACTGAGCACCAGGATTCCTCATTGCTGAAAAATCCATTTCCCACAAGGTAATAGGAACACACCAAGGTGACTGGCTGAAAAAAAAAAAAAAAAAAAAAAAAAGCTTCTCCTTCTGTTAGCACTACAGAACTCGGAAGATCCTGGTAAAAACAGACCTGTGACTCTGGTCATGGTGCTGCCTACACACACAGCATGCAACGTATCCAGCTCAGTAGGAAACAGGGGCTCCAGCGCTCCCCTGGCTGCTTACCAATCACTCCGAGACTCGTGAGCCGCAGGTACTCGAACGGCCGCGTCTTGCTGACCGTGTGCAGGAAGGGGTACAGGAAGAGAGGGATGTGAGCTGCCAGGAAAGCTGACCTGTACAGAGGGAGAACAGTCAGTGTGAGAGACAAGGAAAGTTACGTGAGCACAAAATCCAGTGTTACCACAAAGCCTGAAACTACTCCTGGACAGATACTGTTGCTGATGCTCCTCAAAGGAGGGTAACAGTTTGTTCTCTGATAGGAAGGTGTGAAGGAACTTCTGCACTGAGCACAGCATGAAACCTTACACCAGTAAACAGCCAGTCCCTTGCACAACTGCTTCCAGCTTACTGGGAATGACCCTTACCTCCTCCTGCCACGCAGAGTCAYGGCTTATTCCACTCATTGACATGCCCCCCTGCAGCTCACGAGCTCACAGGGGCAGTTAGCCGTGATGCCTGTGCACAGCCTCAGCACAACACATTCTGYCATGCTGTATACATGTTGTATGTTTACATGTAAGCATACATGTARGCATACAACATGTAAACACACACGGCGCTCACCTCCCCAAGAACCCACACGCTGCCCTCTGACAGCCAAGGAAAACACAGACTGCACGGAGAAACCTGGAGACTGCCAGGCCAACWCTCTTGCATAAACACTCAACATCCCTTTATCTACCTGGAGTTCTCAAACTTTAATTATAAAGACATTGGGTATAAAATTAGCCTGTTTCCTTGGTCACTGTCTCATAGAGGGTTGCTGTTCAACACTAACGTGTGGCAGCTGATAAACAGCTTCAGCTACCCCGGCCCTTCCTCTCAGCAGGAATAGAAATATGAGCTCATGGCTCTCTGGGTTATCATCTGGGCTCTGCCTGCTTGTTTTGGCTTATCCAATATCATTTTTATTGCTGATGCATACAGGGCAGAGACTGAGAAAGTCAGGCACGGGCTGAGAACTGCAGACCTGGCTCCACTATYGCTCCCCTGTCACACGCACACTCTGTAAGGGCAGCCTTGCCCATGCCACCCTTCRGGCAATTGATCTAAATAACTGTAAGCTCATTAAAACAAGGATCCTGTGCACACCRCTGAGCACGAAGGCACCCCTGTCACTGGCCGAGCGCCCAGGGACTGCCACAATCCARTGTTTTGGGAATTTGCAGGTTCTCTGAATGGGTCAGGAAATGCAAAGTACTTGGGACCACTGTACAGCTGTCGACGTGGTTATCTGTGCAAACAAGGGAAAGGAGCAGGCAGCTGCCTGTCCTCCAGCTCTGTGTGCTCTTCCACTTCTTTTGGTAAGARCACATAAAGGAGCTTACCTGCTTCTGCAGCCAGACTGACAGAGCTGTCAACATCAGCTTCTCAGAAAGCTCATGCATGTGGAAACACTCACCTTGTTTCGGGATGTGATGCAACACACTGGAGCAGAGCTAAAGCATTGCACACTCTGTTGGACTGATGGGCTGTCAGAGTTGGAGGGTTGATTGACGGATAAATATTTACAATTTCCTAAAAATTAACAGATGAAGAAAACTTAAGGGAGAACAGCCATCGGCAAGCTGCACAACAGCACTCGTCCAGCAAGGATGGTGTTAGATGACAGTCCCCTTTCACCAAAAGAGCTGACATGGCAGCCATCGTGCTGCCCAAGAAAGGGGAGAGCTGGGCCAGAATCAATTTGACAAGGAGTCACAAGGGATGCAGCTAAATCTTAATTTTAGAAGAGAACAGTTCAGCTGATTTCCTGTCTCTTTGCAAGTAGGGAACTGTTTTGTTTGAATTTCCAGAGTCTATTCATCCTGCTGGCTGCTGGTGCTCTTCTCCCTCAATACAGGGGAAGCAGCTGAGGGTGAGAAACCCAATTCAGAAATCTGCCTGCTTCCCACCATAACTCCCTTCTAATTTTCTCCACTTGTTTCCAGGCCACTCTGGAAGCAGTTTGACATTCTGACTGCTTTTCCATCATTCCTCTAAATCGACTACATTYCGCACCATTTTCCATCACTTGTTTTTGCTATTATTTGCATCATTTACTATTGTTCTGACCAGATTCTGCGCTGGAAGATGGCCAGTCAACAGAGTAGAGCTGTAGAGGATGTTGGCCCAGCAAAGAGCTGCACAGATCTCTGGAACAGGGTGCAGTATTTCCCTATTATCCATTCTGCTGCCTGAGAAGGATATGGGCAGCTTTCTGACCAAGTTCAAGCTCATGTAAAATCTGAAGAGATCTCAGCTCATCCACTCCCTTCCCAACTAYGCAGATTTCTCTTATAGTGCCTACAAATATGGCCTTGCTGGTGATGACTAATGACAAACACTAGATACAGGTTTCCCATCAGCACACACCAGATGCCCAGCAACAATAAGGGACCTCACTAGGGTGTCCCAGATATGGCCCACAGACAGGAACTCTGCACTGTGCAGGTGCTGAGCCCTGGAATAAGGATACTGCTAATCCTACCCACCTGCAGGAGAGCTGCAATTGTGCCAAACGAGTGCCAGAGCATTGGGGCAAGGTCAGGCACAGACTCCCGCTTCTTGCTCAGCTCCAGCAGCGCGTTCTCCCGCGTCTCGGGGCTGGACAGCTCATTGATCCATTGGTAGATCTTCTCCCGGTCTACCTGAGCCAGCGCTGTTGGCACAGGCTGGAAGGAGACAGCACAACTTGAGTCCTGCTGTTTTATCCAAATCTCATTCAAACCCTTCCCACAGCCTGACAGAGAAGCAACAAAGGGTACACGAAACAACTCACTAGTGGACACAGGAACTAAAAATACATTAAGATATTCTGGATGTGGATCAGTTCCCTAGGTTAGCGCTATTATTCCACCAATCTAAATTGCAAATGTTTTATTTTCTGGACTGACTTGTTAGGTATGRTCTCTTTTAAGCCTCTTGTCAAATATTAGCCAGCAATTTCCTCCAGCAGCAAGAGAGTCCTGCGACTGCCTGGCTGTGCCACCAGAGCTCCTGGAGATGGGGTCACACACACTGCAGCCAGCTCTCGGCTGCTCCCTCTGCATTTAATTTTTAATTTAATTTAATTAAAGTTTGCACAAAGCCAAACAAGGAAACAATATCAGTGAGTGCAGATGCTGCTGCCTTTTCCTCTCTAAAAAGCTGAAGATGCTGGGGCCCACCAATGCGATTTGCCCAATGTGACCTGTGTTGAAAATATACCCAGAGAAGGATATATCTGTATTGATAATTAAGGTGTATTTACCACCGCCTGGGAGAAGTGTGTTACAATTTCTCCTCTGACTTTCTTGGAATATCAGACAAAAATTAAATCAAGCACAAAAACAAACTAACAAACTAAAACAGGGGAAGGAAAGGAAGCGAAATGGCTACGGTGGAACGGCAGAGGAGCAGGCCTCACCGAGAGCTGGTCTCATGCCTCTGCTGCCATAACAGGCACTCGAGCTGCAAACAAACGCTGAGCAGGCTTCCTAAAGAGGCAGCTCAGTGATTTAGATCAAAAACTTCACAGCAGACAAACCTGGACATTAAAGCCTGAACAGTTCTAGAGTTAGTTCTGAACTGACTGTGTTTCTCTTTCCCTCCAGTGCACAGACTGGACCCCGCCTGCGCTCCCCACACCAGACGTGGGAGTCGCGTGTGCGGCGCTGACACCAGCCCTGCTGCGAGGCCACTCACACCGAGACACCCAGAAAACAGAACGTTCAAGAACTGAAAGCGACTGGAAGCAAAACTGAAACTGCAGGGCAGGAGCAGCCTCCCAGGCCAAGCCCCTCCTGAGCTTGCCACCCTGTCGGTGAGCCCGCCTCAGTTTATTCACAYATCACATCTGCAGTCGTGGCCTAACAGATTCTTGCCCAGTCGTGGGATTTCTATTGAGCAGAAGCTGTAATTTCTCTCTTTCCCATTCACTTCCATCACTTCAGTCATCTTAAACGTCTGCACCTAAGCTGACGTGCAATTACCACTCCTTATGCTGTGGAGCTCAAATAATTTTTAACTCTTTATCTTTCTACCCATCCCCCCCCCCCTTTTTTTTTCCTTTTGCCACATTAAGTCTTTTTCCCCCCAAAGTCTCACACAAAGATAGTAAAAACAAATTGCATTTAAGAACTAAAGCGCAATTCCAATAATATCTGCTATCCTAGAGCTAAGAAAGAGAGGAAGAACAAACACAGCTCACTTAGTTTTGTTTGGAATGACAGGGGAACAAGCAGCGTGGCAATAATGCTGTTGAAATTGTGTTATCTAAAGCTTCCATCTATTTTTTCTAGACACACTGGAAGTTTCAGTTTCTGTAAGCTTAAATACATCGACCCTTTAAAAGCACAGCCCGYGCCTCTGATCCCTAGGGAACACTAAGTAGATTTTCCACACAATTAAGTTTATAATGTCCAATATCTGTCTGAGCAAGTGCCAACTGCTTTCCAYGGACCCTATAGTTGCTCCTCTCATAGCTTAGTTTACCAAAAAATATATTTTTTTCCTAATTTCCTACCTTGTCACCACTTAACACACACACATATATTGCCAACCGAAAACTCTGGAAAACTCTAGAGGCTCCAAGGCAGGACCCTGCCCAGCAGACTTTCCTTTGCACACGTGGAAAGAAGTCACCAACAATACACAGGGTGGACCGGCCACCTCTGCCCTTGACAGACCTCAGGACACCTTCCTCCCTGAAAGGGTGTGAGCTCCAACATTCCTGTCAGATTCCCTCTACAATTACACAACAAACTCCGCTTAGGTAACTGGTTTCTTTTCTGAGRCAAGCAGGTGCTGCTTGATATGCTGGTAAAAGCACTGATAGAGAAAGCAAAACATTGACTAATAGGATGCATAGTTATTTTGACAGATCACCAACTTCACAATATCAAAATGAACTTTTTTTTTCTTTAATAGCAGTGAATTTGTGAGTTTGAGCCAGATGACCGCAGGGTCCAGACAGCAGCACTGCCCTGCTGCTAATTAAAGCTACATTTATTGGTTTTGGTCTATTCTCAAGTCTTCACGCTGAGCCATCCTCAGGGCTAGAGCTTAAGTGTCATCTCTGCCTCCAGCATCATTACATGGAGACCAATACTCYGGCTGGCCACACTTTTATCATGGCAATGTCCTTGATGCTTAAAGCAATTCCTGTGCCAACTCACAACAATGTTATTTACTGTGGTTCCCAAGCACTTCTGCAGATATGAATGTCCCTCTAGATCACATTTACTGTACAAGAACTGAGACAGCATTAAAGAACATATCTTTAAATTGTATGTAAGCAATTCCCCAAAATAAACCTAATTTATACTCCTGAATCGGAGTATTTCATTGAAATTTTCGTTGAAGAAGACCCTCTTCTAGAGGTGACTAGAACACAGGCAAAGCACTAATGGAAATACACGAACCCCTCGTGGATTTGGCCAGGCACACTGGAACCACGCTGCTACAAAAACCCAAGTGCTGATTAGCAGAGCTTGCGACGAACCCGYGTGCCCTCGCGTGCTCCAGAGAGCRCCGCTTCGCAGCGCCGCCATTCGCCAGCGCTCCAAGAACCAGTCTACAATCGCGAGCACTTAAGCCAAGYGGAAGGCTTAGAAGCTCCCTGAGCTCCAGCTCATAAACGCCCCACGCGGCCTGGTTTGCCTTCCAGCCCGCGCAGGGCCTTGCGCCAAGGCCCGGCTTGCTGCCCCCACGACACCCCCGAGGGCCGCTCGCCCCGGGAGCCCCACGCGCGCTGCCACGCGGGACTAAGCAGGGAGCGCGGGGAGAGGCGGGAGCACCGCGGCSGACACGAACCGCGGCCTGCAGGGCCAGGCCCGCCCCGGCGCACGGGGACCCCCCCGCGAGCGCCCGCCCCGCTCACCGCGGCCGTGGCCAGGCTGTGCATGGTGCCCGCGGGGCCGGGCCGCCTCGCGG